TCTGAGAGAAGAGATGAGCATGCTGTTAATCCTCCCAACAGTCCGAGGTGAAGTTAACTCCATTTCGAAAGCAAAGAGATTGAGACACGGAGAAGTTAAGTAACATATTCAAACAGCTAAAAATGATGTGGCTGGGATTCAAACTCGGGCAGCTTGGGGGAAACATCTCTGTGCTGCACTTAGCTCCTCTCACCTAGGGCTCAACTTCAAAAGCAATTTTGCTGCCTAACTTAAAACTCTGAAATTCTAGAGTTAAAGAGAAAAGCGTTCACTTATCTATTTATTAAGTCATTCCATTACTCACGCTTCTATCATGGATTATACTCCTGTTATGTAACAGTCTTTATATTAGCAAAAATAGACAGGATTTCTGGGATTCTTGTACTTAGATTCTATGGGAGTGACATACTTAGGCTATTACACAAGTAAACATAAAATCATACATGCTCGTAAGCACTTGAAGGAAAGATATAGGATGTTACAATAGGGGAGAGGGGTGGGGGGATGGCTCAGAGGTCAGGAACACTGGTTGATGAAGGCCAAGGTTTAATTCTCAGCACCTATATGATGGATCACAAACATCTGTGACTCCACTTCCAAAGGATCATGTGGGAACCAGGTATACAAGTGGTACACAAACACACACGCAGGCAAAAGACCCATACACATAAAATAAAAACTGACCACAGCGTAAGATAATAAAGGCATTTAAATGGGTACATGACCTAGTAGAGAACAGTAAATCCCGAAGACCTTTGACCTGGGATTGCTCATCTAGGCTCCTCTTAAATTCTTTAGTATTTCAAAATCTCAATTCGCTACCAGAAAAACAGGGTCAGAGGACTGAGTTTGAGCCACCGTGAAGACAACAGACGCTGGAAGGCATTCCAGGATCCCAGCACCAAAGATGACAGCTAATGGCTGCCGCTGTTTTCCCATTGCTATGACCTGTGTCCAGCAGAGAACTGGGTGAAAGATTCAGAATGACAACAGTCAGACATTAGGAATGCAGCAAGTAAGGGAAGTCTTTCAGAAATACTACGGATTTTACTGCTGTGAAAAGTATGCTGATTCGATAGATTTATCCTTTTAATGGAGTTATTCAGTAAAAGAATCACATATCACAAGTAAACAATCTGGAAATAATTACCTATGGGGAATCTAATGCCTTGTTAACATTTTCCTGACGTCTCCCGGATTCTGACATGGTTTTGCCCTCTGTCGCATGGTCTTTCTGTTCTTTTTAGCACAGATCCTAGACTGCACCACCTTCTATCCAGACTTTAATACCGAAGTACAGTGGGCCAAGACCAGTGAGGTGGACTGTCCCTGGGTGTTCAAGGGCAGTGCAGGAGCCATGAGGAACTCTTTGCTAGAAGGACAGGCGATACTGCAAAGCCAATTTCAAGGTTTTAACTTGATGGCTTGCAGCTTCAGGTTAGAGAGAAAGAGGAGGCAGGCAGCCTGGTGAGTCTGCCCTCACAGAAACGGACTCTCTCCTGAACTGTGAGGGTCTCAGGAGGAATCTGTCTGGGAGGGTTCCATCCTGCTGTATTTTCTTGGCAGACGTGTGCTTACGTGCCCTTCGGGAGAGCACTTCAAAGCTTGGAAGGCTACTTCAAAAGCTCCCCGCAGGCTCCATCCATGACTGGAGCTAACCCGATTGAGGGCTGAGCTCTGGCAACCTTGGCTACACGGGCAGACCAGCAGCTAGGCCATACACACATGCATATCCAAAGCACCAGCTCTGCCCCTTTGCCTTCTGGCAGGGGAGAGGGTGGGACTATGTAGTGTGAGGCCCCATGAAATCTGTGAAGGGGCCTCTTTGTCCAGGTTAACTATAGACTTTAGCTACACTCTTTATTTAACCTCCAGGTTTGTCTCCACAGTACCAGGCCAGTCCAGCAGCATCTTCCAGGAATTCTGTGAACAACTGACCTGCTTCCTGCTGCCAATGCCTGGGCACCTCTAGGCCTTTTCTTTGATTAGTTTGAAAAAAAAAAAGTGTCCAACTTCCTCTGCCTGATTCCCTCTAGGAGAAATTCTAAAATATAAGAGGGAGCTTACATTAGAGCTGGAGATGTGGGACACTGAGTGTAGACAGCTCCTGGAAGCCAGTGTTAACCACAAACATGCCATCCATGTCCCCCCCAAATGCAGTTGGCTTTGTTGGTAGTGGAGGTAGCAGTGTGTGTTGGCGGAGGCTGCTTGTTCGCTTCCCAGGCACCCAGACCAAAATAATCACTCAGAAGCTATATTGATTACAACACTGCTTGGCCTATTAGCTTAGGCATATTTCTAGCTAATTCTTATATCTTAAATCAACCCATCTCTATTAATCTGTGTATCATCATGTGGTTGTGGCCTACCGTCTGTCCGGCATCTGGCATCTGTCTCCTGTGGCAGCTACCTAGCTTCTCACTGACTCCACCTACTCTATATATCTTTTCCAGCCTAGCTATATTCTGTTAAGCCATTGGCCAAAAGCAGCTTGTTTATTAACCAATGACAATAAAAACTATTCACAGCATACAGAGGGGAATCCTACATCAGTAGTGCTTTGTTTTTGTTTGTTTGGTTTTTTTTCTTCATCAAAAGAAGCAAACAGTAGACCTCAGGTTTCCAGATGGATTCTTCAGGGCTCAATCTTTCCTCTCGAAGCTGGTTCATTCACTGTAGCTGTCTGTTGGTTAATGACAACAGCAGTGTAGGCCCCTCCCCTCCCATACACATAGGTGCTGCATACAGTGGAGGAATGGGTAGGGCCTACATGAACCAGTAGACAATGTGATAGGCTAAGTATGTCGGCCTAGAACTCTAACATTTAGGAGATTCAGTCAAAAATGTTGTGATTTAAGGCTAGCCTAGGCTATACAAGAAGACTTTGTCTCCAAAAACCAAGCCAACATTTAGAGAACAGAGGGAGAGACTTGAGAAGTGGACAGAATAAAGAAAGAAGAATGAAGGTAAAGAGAGAGACCTAGACAAGAAGCAATGGGTGTGGGGGGGGGGTGTGTGGACATAAGGACCCTGGTGAGAGCATGGGCGTAGGAGCTCAGAATTGAAACTTCTAATTGCAGCTCGCTCCAAAAAGAACATTTCCAAAAGTGTTTACCATGCAGGCAAGGACAGACAGATGCCTGCAGTCACACAGAGGCAAGGACAGACAGACGCCTGTAGTTATACAGAGGCAAGGACAGACAGATGCCTGTAGTTAGAGGCAAGGACAAACAGATCATCACACAGAGGCAAGGACAGACAGACGTACACCCGTCAGTCTAACTTTACCTTAAACCTATGCAGCAAGGGGGATGCTGTTCCCTCCCTCTGGCACACCAAATGACTTTTAAAATGATGGATTCCCATGTGCATCTCATCAATAAAGCTTTTCACCACTCCTAGACTACAGTCGCTATGGGAAGCCGCTATTGAATAAAATACATAAAATATGGAAAACCGATGTATTCCGGGAAACCCATGCCTGCTTCTTCCTCAGGAAAACAACTTAGATTATTTGACTGATGTCAAGAAACAAAAGCCCCTTGCCGCTCTGTGCTCATTCTTTCTCAGGGATAGAAAACACCTTCTTGTTTATTGTGTGCCCTGTGGCTGCGGTACCTAGAGTTTGGTTCTAGAAATAAAGAAGGAAAAATGTCTCCAAACAGTTTTTCTGAGAAGGGCCCCTCCCCCAGGGCTGTTTGCTGTCATCCCCTTTTCTTCTCCGCTTCCTCCCTCCAGCTTGACGTCTTCTCAAATGCTACCTGACAGACTGCCGCCATCACCCTGTGAATGTAAGTAATTTCCTTATTGACAGCCCCCCATTCTCTCTGACATCTGCCAGGACTCTCTGACACTTGAATAAGCATTAAGACATTAACAGTCTGGCACAGGTTTAAGGGCTGGAATAGTAATGCTTGGCAGGCCTGCTGCACAGAGCCACAAGCAAAGAGACCCCCACCCATTCAAACTCCGCCGTCCTTCTGCTTGGAAAACGGAGCAGAGCCCGTGGTAAATGTCGATTACTCGCTTCGCTGCGTTGGCATTTTGGTGTCTCCTTAGGCAGACCAGATTGGACATTAAAGGAGAAGAAAAGGAAAACACGGAAATGCCTGCTTCTGAGGCAGTGGGATGACAGGGCAGGTTGCCGTTTAGTGGGATGATTTTAAAGAAGCTGGTTTAGAAAGAGGCAAAGTCAGGCTCCCCTAACTTGCACCCGGAACATTTGCATCAGACTTTCTTCTGATAATATCACATTCGTCCCACACACTCGAGCTGGCAAATGCCAAGGATTTTTTTTTTTAAGACAAATGTGTCAGATCAAGGATGTTCACAAAATGATTAAGGGAGAATACCCGGGTAGCCTTTGTTGCTAGAGTCTGTTCACCTACCAATGCTGAAGCTATTCACACGCAAGGTATTAAACCATTAAGTGAGTCATGGGGCTGCCTCACTTCTATTCTAAAGAGGGTTTATTTGGAAGCAGAAACCTGTAATCCACCCAGGTAATGCTAAAATTAACATCAAAATAGAGAGGCAGAGCCCTGCCTGAATGGGACGTTTTTTTCTTGAGTCAAAAATGACTCAATGCGACTGCAGAAGGGAAACAAAAGAATTAAAATGGCCTTTCTAGAAGTCCAAGGTCATCTGTAACCACCTGGCCAGCAAGACTCTGTGGCTCATGGCTCTCTGCAGGCTCTCTGCACACCTTCTGGGGTCCTAGACCATCACCCCTCCATTTAGCACCATGATGATAGGCTAGCTGCCCATGCACAGGATATACTGGGTATAATGGCATTCATTTTGCTAACTACCTTTGTGTTCTTGTTTGATCTGGACCTGGGGTCACTGTGTCAGGATTGCAAATGAGGAAGAGAACGTAGCTCGGAAAGAAGATGACACTTTGCCCCAGATCACACAGGTTATTAGGAGCTGTGTCATAATTTGAACCAGCATCTTAACTTCCGTGTTGGTATGTTTCGCTACATTCAGCTCCGGCCCCAGGGAGCAGCTGGGTCCAAACTGCCAGCAACAAGGTGTAGTAAACCTGGAAGGGTGGTAGTCATCTTCCTGGGGCTGCAGGAGCGTCTGTGGCCTCAATAAACCTGGTGGAAGCCTACTGCTGAAGCCAGAACTCCAATCCTCTAAGGGCTCTGAACGGCTGTTTGGGGCAATGCTGTCTCTTCAGAGGCAACACTGTCAGAAACACAACAGAGTCCAGACCAGCAGCCAGTGGGTATGGGTACTCACAGGAGGTAAGAAGGGGACTGTGTGCTAAACTAAATCAGGTGCCAGTTAGCTCTGGATCTGGGGCCAAGGGGACATGTAGGCTGGGCTGTATAACTCTTGTTTCTTCGCTATGTTAAAGCAGTGTAGCTTCATCGGATTCACAGACTCCTGGTCTATGAAGCTAAGTCTTCATCACACTACTTAGCAAAAGCTTACTGTACTAAATGGTCAGGAAACTAATGGCTCCATATTCTTAGTATTCATCCGTAGAGGAGCCTGTGTAAAGCTCCTCTTGTCCACTGTCCCATCACCACCTCCTTTGGTCACCCAGTGGATAAGACAACATTGGTTCCTATGGGGTTCATCTGAAGCCCCATCTTTGTGACTTAACACCACTCTTTAGAGGTTTGGCTTCAGAGGCATACCCCAAACCAGTTCATCATCCACATGGCCCTAATCATGACAATAAAAAGCCATCAACTCTCAAGCCAGTCACCTGGGCCTATTGTCTCATTTATACTGAAGGTTGGGCTGGTCACTTTTATAGACAGGGTCCTTAAAGCCCTCAGAGGTCAAATAACTCATTACAAGTTCCCCAGTGGTTCAGTGCTGCTTGGTGGAATGGGCCACCTGACTTGACGCCAGAGCCTGTTTGGGCTAACTGCCTCAGCTAATGCCTGCCCGTCCCAGAGATGAGGCAGCCCTTGCTTTGCCTTTCTCGACTCCTTGGGTCTCCAGGGCAACACATAGGGTTCTCCTTTCCTGCCAGCCCTCACATCTGTTGTGGGATAATCGTTTTGTACACTGTGAAGATGAGTCTCTGCCTAAGGTCCCTTCTGATTGACTTAAAAAGGAGCTGAATAGTCAGTTGCTAGGTAGGAGAGAACAGGTGGAACTTAGAACTTCCCGAAAGAGAGAGGAGAGAGAGGAAAGCCATACGTTTGCTTTGGTGTGTACCAGAGTCGGTGACAGTGGAATAGGAAGACAGACTTCAGGCTCCATAATCTCATAGCCTAATATGAGAGAGAGAGAGAGAGAGAGAGAGAGAGAGAGAGAGAGAGAGAGAGAAAGAGCAAGAGAGAGAGAGAGAATCTGAGGTATGAATGAGTTATGCATGCTTGCAGGATTAAGCCAGCCAAACAAGGAGGGACTCACACAGACAGAGTGGAGGAGAGGTAAAGAGCCTTGTTCCTAGTGGCAGAATGTAAATGAATAGAAATGGGATAATTTAAGTTCTAAGAGCTAGTTGGGAACAAGCCTAAGCTACAGGCAAGCATTCATAATTAATAATAATTCTCCATGTCATTATTTGGGAACTGGCAGTACAAAGAACGTCTGGTTGCACACATGGAATCTATGAATCTGGCTGTTCTGGTCACTTTTCTATCTGCTGGACATTTGTTTTCTGGATGTCTCTTCCTCTTTCTCCAATTCCTTCCCTACTTCCCCATCCCCTTCCCTTCCTCCCTTTCCTCCTTTCTCCCATTCCTTTCTTTCTCTCCTTAAAATAGTGTTACCACACATCTTAGACTAGACTTGAACACACAATCTAGCCCAGGACGGCCTTGAATTTGCAATCTTTCTGCCTCATCCCTCAGATGCTGGGGTTACCAGCATGTACCACCACCTCAAGTTTGGGCATCCATTCTACACCCAGCCAGCTGTCTTTCCGGCTCATCTTGCCCACCACTGTGCAGCCAGTTCAGGCTCCACACTATATGCTTTTGCTATGCCCTAAAGCAGCCCTCCACGACTCCCGGTGTGCTGAAGCCTAAGACTGGTCAGCCTTGGTGGGGAATGAGATCTGCTTCTGCTGCCAATGTGCAGTTGGGCTTTGCAGCTTTCCTCCTGCCTTCTGCGGATGCCTGGTGGAATGTCAGTTCCAGGTGGTCACAGATTTACACCCCTTGATCGCTGAGACATCCCCACTCAGAGACTGAAGCCCGACTTATTGTAAGTGCTCACTAAAGAGTTGTTAGATTAATTAATGAAATTATTTTCCCAGCCAGTGAGATTATCCCCTTTCTGTGATAGTTCAGCAAGGAAACATTGAAAGATATAAACTATGCTGTCAGGTTGTTTGGAAGATACTGATTTTTTTAAATGAAGAAAATCTGAATAAGGATTCTTAAGGTTTGTTATATTTTATGTGGTTGTTTGTGTGTTTATTGCTGTGCTGAGGGTAGAACCCATGAACTCTAGTTTGCTAGGCAACTTCTCTTTCACAGAACAGCATCCTCAAACCCCAAGCCTGTTATATTTTAGGAGTCAACATCTGTCCAGTAAGGGCTTTTAATGTTTATGAAGCGATGCATTTAATTGTTCTATTCCAAGATAATGATAGTATGACTTGCCTCCCTTCCCTCTCCCTTCACTTACTCCAAGATAATGATAGCATGATTTATTCTTAGTATTGGAACGCCAGCTTAACATAGGGTGACAAAGGACTCCTTGCTGTGACCGGTAGAAGCCTAGCTGAGACAGGAGTATCAAGTCTTTTGAGACGGAATCCTAGGACTGAAGCAATGCTATCCACTGCATGCTGTGGGCCCTATCTACTCGTCTTCCCTCCCTTCCTATTTGGGTGTTCACCACATTCCCTACCTACCCTTCCTTTCAGAGGACACTCTCATCACAAAATCTCATGGTCGCAGCTTCCCCACAACAATGTACTGTGTCAATACAATTTGGGTGGACTGGTCTTCCTTGGTTCATGAGAACAGGGTCCATCACCCATCTCTTTGCCATGCTGCCTCCTACCATGTATCACAGAAGGCCCACGGGACCCAAGATGTACCGTGAGGAAAGAAACAGCTCTGTCAACGCAGGTAGACATGACAGATGGCTGGCGTGTTGGCAGGAGGCATCGAGTGGCTGGGCCAGCTAGTGGAGGGAGAGGGAAGGGTAATTTTTGAAGGAGAGGATAGGAGAGTTAGCAGAGAAAGGCAGCAGACTCTGAGATAGGCAGAGCTGGGGACTAAGAAGGTATGGGCACATTGCTAGAGTTCAGAGTTACTCTGCCCTTGGCTTTTCATGGGGACTTTAGATATCTGTAGGCCTTTCCCTTGTATCCCAGATGGGGGTTGGATCCTTTCAGCAGTACTGAACTTGCCGATGTGACTTTCCATTTGAATGACATGCCATGACTGGGCAGAAGATGCCAGTGGGTACTTTTGTTTTCTCCTATAATAGTGGCATATCTCAAACAGGTCTTCCCATTCGCATTGGATCTGGTGCTCAGGAACCAGGTGGAGCTGCCCCTGGCACATCCCAACCCTTGCACACCTGTGGCTACAAACCACTTAGATCCAGGGAGGTCACTGTGACATGGACGGGTGACAGCTGACCAGTAGTCCACAACTGGAAGTGCTCAGTCCCCGTGAAGTCCTGCAAGAGTGCTTGGATTGTGATGGAGGCTCGGTGGTGACCATCAGGGCAAGTGTACTGGGACTTGGACATAACTTTCTCATTGGCCCTGGATTGTCTTACAGAAAAGGGCTTATCCCTGGACCTGCGGAGGTAGTCTTTCCCATGTGCGCCTCCGATTAGGAGTGGGAAGCACACATTCCAATTAAAATCTGCCCTGTGACCGTGGTTGTAGGCCCTAATTTTTCCAGAGCTATTTCTTTATAAATGACTATTAACATTCCTTCCAGCATAAAGAAGATTCTGCATCTCTAGGCAAACAACTGCTGGAATCTCGCTCATAAGTGAGTACCAGCAACACCACTTGCAAAACCAGGCTACCAGGGCCTCGCCTTCTGGGTTCTTTTCTGCCTCCACAGAGCTTGGGTTAACCCTTAGCTGTGGTCAGCTTTCTAGGTAACGGCGTTTTTATAGGACCCAGGAAAATGACATTTTAAAATCATTTTATTTCCTCTAACTTAAGGTCACAAAGCTGTTGGACAGAGAAAAGAGATGTTTCCTAGGAAAAGGGAAACCACGCTGTGTCGTGGGGATGTGAAAGCCCCTTTGCCGACAGCTTCTCCTTTGACTCAGAGGACTTAGAATAAAAAGCAGGTACCAACTGAAGACAGCAAGGGAGGCGGCTGCAGGAAGTGGATGGAGCTCAGGCTGAGAATCCCAGCTGGCTTCCAGCCGGGTGACCTTGCCACTCATTTCCCTCGGTTTGGACTTCCCCATATGTAACAATAAACGCCCTGCAAACTCCTGTTGAGTGCACACTCATATCTTATCCCTCTGATGCCATCAAAGCTAATTGACAAGGCTGTTTACTGCAGGCCTTAAATGGCAGGTTTCTTAATTTGTAGCAGAGGGGAGGGAAAGGTTTACAGTGGGAGCCTGGTCCACACAAAACTTCTGAATTGCTAAGATGCTTTGATACTAGAGGAAGAATGAAAGAGCCTGATTTATAATCATCTAACAAACAAACCATATTCATACTGCTACAACAGCAGGGCAGGTGTCCATCCCTGCCCACTGTGGAGGTTCTAGGATCTGACCAAGGGCCTAAGCTCCGGCGCATTCCTCCAGGTCAGAAGAAGTCTGTCCATAGTAGGCAGCCATCCTCAGTCTCAGCTAGAGAGCTATCAAGTACCAAATCTGGTCCATGGATTAGTACTGTCTCTAATTTCAGGACCCAGGTCCATGTGCCATCACCTGGGCTGACGGGTGGCCGCTGTTCCAATGTCCTCGGCCTCAGCAGAGGTGGCAGGTTTCTCTGCTGCCTCTCCTTGGATTCCTGTCGTCACTCTCACTGAAGAGCAGACTTTGTCCCATGACGTGGGCTCATGTCCACAACCTAAGCATGAAAATGTGCTCTAAGACCTGCTTCCCCATCTTCAAAACCATTCCTCCTACAGAGACTCTCTGATTACAAAGCTATTGGAAACCCACCCTCAGCCTCAGGAAGGCATGTCAGAACATACAACCCTGATCAGCTCTGTTGCCTGGGAGCCTCTGCGGAGGACGGAACAGATGGAAGGTCTCATGTTCTTCAAACTCAAGCAGTATTCTCTTTCTGCCATTCTTCAGGGGGTACTGGCAGCTTATGACTAGCCACGGTGTGTGTGCGTGTGTGCGTGTGTGTGTGTGTGCATGCGTGCGTGTGTGAGTGTGTGTGTCTGTGAGTGTGTGTGTGTGTGTGTGTGTGTGTGTGTGTGTGTGTGCCTGAAGAGGATTCCTCTGATGAGGATGAGAACTTTTGTTTCAGCAGCTCCTCCAAGATGGCCAACATTTTCTTGGTACTTTTCTTTTTTACCAGCAGCATTTTCTACCTAGTTCTTCCTCTCTCCTTTCACCACAGAGGCCTGTGTCGTGGTACAGGGTCAAGCAGGAACCTGGAGTGCGTGCAGCTGAAGGGACCGGGCTCAGCTAATTGTTCCCTTGCACTCTGACTGGCACACTGTTCTTTCTTGCCCCCCTTACTCCCATTTTCACAGCTTTCCATCTATAGTGAGCAAAGTCACCTTCTCTGAAGGGACTCCCTCACTGGGGTGAGCTTTAACTTCCTTACCCCATTGACCTTCTTCCACATGAGGGCGTGGGGCCAGTTTTCACTTCTTAAAAAAAATTCCTCTTGAAGTGGGACTCTGGAGACTCTTCAGTAAATGAAGATAGACTTGGTGAGGAAATTCCAACCTTACAAGCAGATAATTAAGAGAGATTTTCCAGGCCTAGGGGGAAATCAAAGACCATTATGGATGTATGGTTTGTGCTAAACCACTTTTATTACAAATTGAGCCCCCATACAGCTGTGCAGCCGTGGAGGGGGGAGAACACAGCCAATGAAACAATTAAAAGCCATGTGGAAGCGGACCTTCTAGTAGCTAACGGGAGCCATCTATTCTGTTTTTCTGCCTTGTTGTGGGTAATTTCAAAACCCCAAATTAGGAATTCTATTGCAGTTCTGAGAAGAACACGACGAGGGAACAGCTAAGGATATCACTGCAAAATTTCCCCGGTCCCCCCTACTCGACAACTCTCCTTTCCTTTGACAGAGACAGGGTAAGAGGGATCCAGTTTGTGGAAAGTCACCTGAAGTCTTGGGGAGTTTCTAAACTCCCCAAGTTTCCTCTAGGGAAAATGTAGAAGCAGGCGAGCACAGAGACACAATTTAGTTCTGCCACCCAAGATCTGTGTGGTCCTGGGCAAGTTACCCAGTCTCTCAGCGCTCACCTTTCCCTGCCTGATGGAGCTACTGTGACAAGTGCATGAGACAGGACAAGGAAAGTGCCTGGCACATGCTAACTCTCCACTGGATGATGTCTGTGTCCTTTGGAAGGAAGTCACCAAGAAAGTCGTTCTCCCTCTTATAACTGCTAGAGAAAATTATGGTGTCAAAAGGTTCTGCCATAATCAAAGATCCCAAATCAAATGTTTTTCTAAGCCTTCATTTTGTGATTTGAGAGGAAGGGAAGGAAGGTGAGTGGGAAGAGTCTTGTCCTATCTAAGGAAGGCAGCCAGTGTGAGGGCGGTGCCTGCCGAAGTACTTGCCGCACATGCCGGAAGACCTCAATTAAATCAGCAGAACCCAGGCTTAAAAAGAAATCTGGGTGCCTTGTGCTGGGCTTTTTATCTCTACACTGGAGCAGAGGAGGAAGGAGGGTCTGTGGGGCTTGCTGGTTAGCCACTCTGGACTACTCAGTGAGCCCCAGTTCAAAACCAGGGTTGATTGGAGGAGATGATCCATGGTTCTCCTTCTACACAGTTATAAGGCCTGGACTTCAGACCCCAGCATGTTCATAATAAGCATGTCTGTAACTCCAGTTCCAGTGCATGTGGGGACAGAGGGCATCCTGGCTTCCAGCCTAGGTGGGGAAATTGAGCCCCAAGTTCAGGAAAAGACCCTTTTGCAGAGAAATCAGCCAAGAGCTGTAGAAGAGGACACTTGTCACTATTTCCTGACCTCTACACAAATACAAACAAATCTAATAAAGCAACAAAAGCCAAGTTAGACAGCTCTTAAAGAACACTGTTCAAGGTGCACACCACACACACACACACACACACACACACACATACACACAAATACGCATACATGTATGAGAGATACTCATACACCCCATATGCATTTATATATTCAAAAACAAAGGGAGATGACCACTAAGAATTTATATCTAATTTGAGAGGGTCTATATCTCTACTAACGGTAGCGGTGAGCTTGATCCTTATGGGCGTGCTATTGGATCCAGTATTTAACATAAAATGGCTGCTAATATAGTTAACAAGGTCACAGAGTTTAAAAGCACATCTATTGATTGGTTATATGGCCTGAGGGCTGCATTGTGACTTCTAGAAGGTGAGGATTCTATGATGACTCTCTACACAGTAAAATGTTTGGGTTTAGGTACAATTCTTCAGACAATTCTATGCAGTGCAAATAAACCAATGTACTCAATATCCCTGCCTGCATATTTCTGCTTCCAGGAGGTGAAGGTACAAAAGTAACCTTCATAAGATGTGAGAGATTTTGCCGTTATTTATTCCTGGACACCAGCTGTCTGCTCCTGAGCATGCGTAGTTAAGCTGCGTCTCAGCTGGGCTGAGATCGTTTCAAGGTGTGTGCCTACAAAGTACCATGGTTCCAACACTTGCCTACAAAACGCAGTGCTCCTCAGCTCTTTAGAACAGCACCAAGAAGGGAGGATCCTAGCCAGAGGTTTGAACATTAGCCCCCAAAACTGCTGCCTTCAAATCTTAAAAGAGAAAGCAGACAGAGCTTAGAAGAAATCATTTTATCCGAGTGTTCCAAGGCTCCAGCAGAGCTTTCCAGTCCCAGAGAATGCTCTGGAGAAGAGCTGGCTGGGAAGCACCCGAGGCAGAAAGCATTAGGCCGCCAGTTATTTAATTAACTTGCTCCACTCCGTTTCTGAGCCAACCACAGAGGGAAAAAGAGAACTCTTATTTCTATATCAAAAGTCAAATAAAATGTTAAAGCTCACTTGTGATTGACAGTCTCCCACACAGCCGCCTACCCAATGCCAGCAACTTTAAATTCAGATCACTTGTGAAACCCAAGGGGTTTCCAGGGTACGAGACAATCCAGATGTGTGTGCCTTGTGCCACAGAAGCCATTTCTGTGCAGGAAATGTTCTGGTGACTTCCATCTGGATAGAAACAGGTATGTTAAGATAGGAGGTACCTCAGCTATAGTGGGGTGATGGTAGCAGGAATGTGGAGGTCCCCTAATGATAAAAATGGGTTTGTTCAGAATTGGCTGAAGGGAGCCAAGTCACTGATATCACTTCCCACCATATCAGTGTGTCCTGCAGTTATACCTTCACCCAACAGTTGCTCAATCCACAACTGACCACGCAGTATTGTGCAAGTATTGGATCAGAGCTCAGACCCACTTGGTAGACTTTGTTGACAAACCGCACAAGTTACTCAGGTATTCTTACTGTTTTCCTAAGCTTCCAGGGCTAAAAAAGGCAGGAATTTCCTAAAGAAAACAGTCTTAAAAGATATTCACATTCCCATCCATCCTGGACACCATAGGATTTCTTTCCCTCTCAGAATACAACTATGCCAAGAAACATCGATAAGGATCTATAGAAAGTGACACACATTATTCTACCAAACTGACATCTCAGGGATCGGTAATAAAAATTCTCTCCTGTTTACCAGGAAAAGTCATACAATGGAAGTTATAAAATGTAGAGCCAGAGACATTCACAACCAAGGGTGTCTGATGAAGAATGTGGAGGTCTTTAAGTAGCAGACTCCAAAACAAAGCCGCTTTTCTGGGAAGCAAACTATCAAATGGAATTTTTATTTGAAAAGCTTGTCTCCAGTTACGTTCCTTATTTCCCACTTTTCTCCTTTCTCATGACCCCACAACGACTCCCTATCACAAACATGGCACTGGCCCCGTTGGCAAATAAACATAGTTCATCTTGGGGATCTACTCATTTTAAAGGCAAATATATTTCAATCACAGTGCTGGGAAAGGTCTTCATTTGAGAAAGTTGTTCAGTCAAATTTTAGAACGCATAAACCGGTAAGCTGACCTTTTGTCACCACCCACGTTCCCTGGGATTATCGTGTTCCCAGGGAATTTCATCATCTCCACCAGGTCAATGCTACAGTTTCCTTGAACAACAGGAGTCTGAAGCATACAGCCAGGCCAGTTTGGGTACCAGGCAACGGTAAGGATGTGACTTTCTTGAAAATAGCACCTTACAGTGGAAACTCCAGGGCCATTTATTAGTTATGTGTGCGTTCATTCACTTTGCTATTCTCTCTTCATTTAAAGGGGGAGCGAGGACGCCAGCTTGCAAGGGTACAGAGGTGTGCTAGGCTGTTTGTGCAGAAGACAGGACATGAACTTTAATCGAGATAATGGTAATATTTCAATGCAGGTTACCGCATTGTTCAAATTCCTGCTGTCATTCCAATTAGAATCAATGGTCCTCTTTCTTACCAATTCCCTCCAATGTGTAGGTTGCTGCTACCTGCCAGGAATGTATTAGATTTTCTTAATAAAGATAGATCGATCACAGCAGTGGGCTAAGTGGTACAGCCAACAGTTAATTCTTGCTTCATTAAGCCAAACTAAATAATTCTCTTTAAATGAAGAAACTCATCCTGCTTTCCGGTAAATATTTGGTATTGAAGCAGCAATGAGAACCCATGCTATGTAAACCTTACTTCTCTTTAGGGGGTCCTGAAGGCATTTCTGTGGGTACCCCACTGAGAATGATAAACATTCAAAATAAAATACTTGTCTAGACAAATGAGTAAAATAAGCTTTGTGAAACTGTTTCCTAGAGTTTGTGTCCTTTAAATGTGTGCACCCACATTTAGTCTCAAAAATATTGTCATCCTTTAAGGGTTTCCCAGCCTGAGGATGAATTAGAAAGTTCTACTGGATAACCTCTGCAGATTGTCTTGTAGGAAGAGCCTGGGCCTTTCCAACTCATAACACATTATAAATAAATCATCATCACTTCAGGGTTTATTCGCAAAGGACAGATATTTGTAATCCTAGAAGTGTATATGTGCCTGTGGCTACTGATTAACTGTCTCAAATTAATAGCTTAAAATTAAAACAAGCCTGGGGTTAAAATAAAGGGAAATGGTTTTCTCTGTAAGAAAAGCCTCAATACTTTAAGAAAGCCCCTTGCCATTTTCCCTTCCTCTTATTATCCAGCCCCCAGAGTGCTGTCTACAGGGCTCATTGACTCCTTGCTATGTGCATTTCCAGATTTCACAGGCAAGAGAAGCAGTGGGCGTAGCTAGGCACAGAGATGTTTCCAAAATGCATTTCTCAAATATTTCACATAACGAGCTTGAATGTTTCCTGGGGATGTCACCCTGCTGTGGAACAGAGTGATTGGTCTCTGGTCTTTCCTGCATGCGTTGATACAATGTCCCTTCTAGAACACCTGCTACACACTATGCAAGTGCCTTCCATTGTGAAACATCACTCAAGAGAGAAAATGGTTCACAGAGAATAAAAGGCGAAACAAATGAGTGGGACAGAACTACGTGAGAGTGGGTAATACTGAGCTGGAAAACCAATCCGGACTTTTAACAACAGCAATAACAACAACAAAAATGTCAAACTCTTCTTGCTATGGTCTTCTTCCTTTTGAAGCTTATGTTGAAGCTTGATTGGCATTTTGGAGAGGTGGGGACTTAGTGGTGGTTAGGACATCAAGAGTGAGTAAAACCTCTCTCAGAGCAGGTTGGTTGTCGTACGGTAAGGCTATCCCTCATGTTCTGCCCCAGCCACATCCACCCCCTTGCCCTTCTGTCTTTTGCCATGGGGTGAGACAACACGAGGCCTTTGCTGGAAGTCCACTCTCCAGAGCTACTTACTTAGCACTAATGAAATCATGGGAACCACTCCCCTTATGACCTCATGTAATGTTAATTACCTTTCATGAGCCCACTTCCCAATACCATTAACATGATAAGGAAGCCTTTCCCCCGGCTTCTTGCCTGCTCTCACGTGAAGTTTCATCATATTCTCATGACATGTCACACCACAACCTTAGGTAGCCCAGACTCCAGGAATGTGAGCTAAATAAGTTCCCTTATGTCTTACACACCCACTCCCAGATGTCTCCTTCCAGCTCGGCGAACTGGACGAGGGTACTCTTCTTGGTATTTTGTCTCTGGTATGCCAGGCTTAGGTTTAGTTTGGAAAGTGCTAGAAATTAGGCCCACAAGGCTATTGCAGCTAGCCTTCTAAAGTTAAATCAGACATAAAAGAAAAAGAACCTGTATTTTTAAGAGATCTGATTTTTTTTTTTTTGGCAATAGAAATTTTATCTCAAAATTTTTGCTGCCCTAAAAGTATATATATAAAACTTGAGATTTCTTTGTGAATTAACTATGATGGGGCCACAGTCACTACACTTGCTTTAGGACTTTAGTTTAAGCTCTTGGGCTCATGTTCAAACACTATGTCGGGCAGCACAGACTTGTAATCCCAGTCTCAAGCAGGCAGAAGCAGGAGGAATCCTAGGATTTGCTAGTCAGTCACTAGCTAAACCAATGAATTCAAGGTTCCCTGGGAGGTCTATGGGCATGGCTTTAAATAACAAAACCTAAATACCTACCAGGACAGACATTCTCTACCCCTTCTCATTCCTTCAATTTAAAATTCTTCCTTGAGATTCAGTTCACTTGTATTTGCTGTGGTTTGAGCATGTTTCTATAAAACTCGGGCACTACTTACACGGAGACCTTTCAAAAGTGATTGGTCCATCTGTGATCTCCCTGACGAATGACATTAGAGATTCCCTAATGTAAGGGTTTGATGGAGCAGGTGTATCTCTGTTTGTCCTTCTGCCTTCCACCATGTGAGAACAGAGCAACAGTCGGGGTACCAGCTTGAGATAGCCAGCATCTCCCCAGATAAGGAGGTTGCCAGCACTTTGATGGCTGATGTAGCACCCAGGGCTGTGAGAAAGCAATTTCCATTCTCAATAACTTTTCTAGCCTATGGTATTTCATCATAGTGGACGAAATGAACCAACACAATATCCTCAATTTCTTCTCAGTCCTGCCTGCTCTGTGGGAGACACTATGATAAGCGATTAAAACACAAACAACCAACAAAACAAAACCTAGAAAACCCAATGTATTTCTTAGAACATTCCATTTGAGGTGACAAGATGTTGCAGGAAAATGTAACTGGGAGGCAATTAGGGCACTACAGACAAGTTATTAGGTGTGTCAGTATAAACAGCAGATGCTAGGAAGATGGTGGGGCAGAAAAGGCTTTTATTTCCGTATTCTTGATATGTAGAATTCCAACTCACACAAGCAAAACAAAGCACTTTAGGAACAAGCAAACCAGGGCACTTAAATTAACAAGACTCGAGGTTTGAAAGCAGAACTGAAGAAACTGACCTAGCCAAGACAAATACCTTGTTTATTAAAAATGGCTTAGTAAATACATATTTGGGAAATGGTTGATAAAGAACGTTGGCTATTTTTCTAATTAGCAATCTGACATAGGAGCTCTTCAGAAAGACAGTGATAGCAGAATTTTGGAGAAGCTATTGCTATGGAGGAAGGACTGGGAAACATTAGTGGATTAGAGCCAGTGGTTAGAACGAGTTGTCCTTGTCCCCTCCTCGGGGACAGATGAATAAGTCCTAGGTTCATCCACAATAAAGTTTGATCCAACCATTTACAGAGAGATTTGGTCCCTACTCACTAAAGTCAAGAGGGACTTATTTGTAATAGTCAACTTAATTAACTTAATTTAGAAAGTTATATTCTATTATTAAAAGAGACGGCGTGTTACGTGTTTATCCTGTTCTATTAATAGCAAGACTACTCTGTAACATTATTAAGTTAGAATAAGCAGGTTTATTGGTCCTTCATCAGTTCATCAAGTGTTTACTGAAGCGTGCTTCCGTATTAGGCGGGAGGCTGTTAGGAGTACACAGTACAATGTTGCTGAGGCTTAGGGATGCTGGAGATGGAAGCAGCAGGTATCCGTAGGTACACAAGGTGGGGAGACAGACTCTGGACACAGCGCCATGTAATGCAAGGCACGGAGACAGACTCTGGACACAGCGCCATGCATTTTCTAAGAATGACTATGGATCTGTTTATTTCTGTAATCACAAGCCATGGAAGTGTTTTGTAAATTAAAAAAAATCTTTTAACTTTTAAACATCTTATTGTTTAACTCAGTGCAGCACTGGCAAAAGCTTAGTGCTGTGTCTAGTACAGAATGTGTATCTTTTTGTAAACAGTGCA